TCAGGCAGTGGTAGCACATGCCTTTAATCTAGCATTTGGGAAGCAGAGATCCATCTGGATCTCTGTGAGTTCAAGGCCACACTGGGAACAGAGCCAGGCATGGTGGCACATGTCTTTAATCCCAACACTATTTAACCATAGAGGTCTGGAGGTCTGTACAGACAGACAGGAAGTGATAGAGGTGAGTGGAAAGAGGAAGTGATGTAGCTGGGCGGAGAGAGGAAGTAAGATGGCAGGGCGCAGAAAGGTATATAAAGCTTGAGTATACAAGATGTAGGTCTCTTGGGCTCCTAGTGGTAAGAACTTGTGGCTGGCTTGTTCTATCCCTCTGATCCTTCAGCTTTCACCCCAATATCTGGCTCTAGGTTTTTATTAATAAGACTATTTAGCAATTCATGTTACACTGTGCACTAAGCTAAACTACACTGGTGGTGGCTGACATAACAGTTTAAGATTCATCTCATGTGATTAAAAAAACAATAAAGATGCTCAGTACAGACAGATCCAGAGGGAAAAACCTCTAATTGGGTTACAGTGTGTTTAAAAATGTACAAAAGCTTGGGAGAGAAAAGAAAAGTGATATAAACAGTCATATATATATATATATATATATATATATATATATATATATATGACTTTTCTTTTATATATATATATATATATATAGTTTTAAAATAATAAAGTAAATTCCTTAAAAAAGGAATAAAGTAATATAAAAGAAACAAAGCCACATAAAGATGGAAAATACAAAGAAAGTCTAGATCCTGTATGTTATTATTTGTTTTTAAATTCTTTGGCTGCTAAGAGACTCTAGATTAAGAAAACTGCTGGATTAAATCAACCTATATATTTTTAAAATGACTTCAAAATGGAAGTCAAAAGATATGTTACCTTGGGGAAGAGGTTATGCTTTTATTTTTACAGGAACTGAGAGGCTATAGATTTGCTCCAGGTTGATATGGATCAGGTTTAATCAGGAAAGATTCCCTGAAAATCCTAACTATAAACATAAAAAAATAAACCTTGAAGAACTACAAGACACATGATGTATATTTTACCTGTTCAAACATATAACAAAAAAAATCATCTTTGACTGACTTGTGTACAATGCAGAGTCTATACTTGTATTAATACAGATATGTATACTAGCTTTAAAAGCTTATGTATTTTTCAGAGCAAGGGGACCAGACATCAATAAAACAGATGGCTCAGCTGACCCAGCATCAAGAACAGCTTCAAGGCTGCTAGCTGAGTTGATCCAGCCTCACAGAATACTCCAGAATAATAATCCTGATTTTCTCAAGGTTCCCCTAGAGATGCCAGAGCCCACAGACAACATGAAGCAGTCTAGAAAAAGCAATGTCCACATTCCCAAAAGTTGTATTATGGATGTTTGTTATCATTTAAGGGAGGTTGGTTACAAGTTGCTGTTGGTCATAGTCAGAAAAAAATAAACAAAAGAGTTAAATTCAAAGACCTTTTTTAAATGGAAAAAAGGGGGATAGGATATAGAAATGACAGAATAAAAGGGTAGATTATTGAATCTACTTTAAACCAAAACAGAACTATTAATCTCAAAATATTTTACATAGGTATGGATTTTGGTTTATTGATACAAATGTAAAGTTAATTTTGTTATACTGTATGTATGTTTCTACTCTTGTTTAGTGTATTGTGTTTACGCAGTTCATTACATGCATCTCATGTAACATAGAATTAAGAAATACTAACTGATAGTTCGTCATCTATAATAGTCAAACTTATAGTCATGTTAGGTATGTTTTCAAGGTCATATGCAGATATATTTAGATAGATAGATGGTCTTCAAACACTTCAAAGACCTATAGAATATGGCATTTAATGTTTTTAATAACCTAAGGCTATTCATGCCAATAAGATAGCTCCTGACAGCGCCAATTTACTTCAAAAGAGGATAATGGCCATCAAAGAAACTCTGTGTGGAGTTTGTTTTCTTTATGGCAAAAGCTAGCCATATGGACAAAGAAACTGACCTTGCCTCAATGCTAAAAAATATACTGTCCAAACTGGACCAACAGGATGCAAAAAATGTGACTGCCAAACTTTTCCAAGACAAGGTAGGTCAGTCCTTTAAAATTTCCTGCTTCTCAGAAATGTCTGTCAGATATACTAGGCCTGTAGGCCAAAGCTGGATGCCCCAAAACTATAGAAATCTTTGGGTGACTGTCCAAGCAGCCAGGTGTCCCTGTTGTTAGGTAATATTACATCTTTCTAGGGTCTTTGAGGAAGTTGAAGACTAAATAATTAACTTAACTTATAGTCTTCCTTAGTTATAATAAAAAGTAAATTAGATATAAAACTTAAACTCACAAAGACAAGATAGATAAAATATTTTCTCTAATTTTGAGAAATACAAATGAACTGGATATTGTAACTGTAATTCTTACTTCATAACTTTTATTGTATATGATTTTACTATGTTAAAGTTAAAATCTTACTTTGTAATTAGACAAAAAGGGGGAAATGCTGTGGAACAATCTTTGTACAATTTGTTGCTCTCATTGTTAATAAAAAACTGATTGGATGATAGGTAGGCAGGATTTGGGGGCCAAGAGAATGCTGGAAAGACGAAGGGTGGAGACAGAGGAGTTACCAGTAAGACACAGAGAGGAACCGGGAGGTGCAAGATGAAATAAGTTACCCTCATATGGCAGAAGGTAGATAATAAATATGGGTTAATTTAAAATATAAGAGTTAGCTAGTAAAAAGCCTGAGCTATCGGTCAAGCATTTATAATTAATAATAAGTCTCTGAATGGGTATTTAGGAGCTGGGACACAGAGAAACTCTGCCTACAAGCCTTAGGTGGCTGCATTAGGTGAATGCATTAGTAGTATGAGGGATGGCTATTTTAAGATTCTGTGAGACAAACTCAGAGAGTGTAAGACTAAGCTGCTGCTTTCTAAACCTCCCAATCTGCTGCTTCTCTTTCCAGAAAGAATACTGTAGTAAACTCTGTAAATGTGACTTGGCTGGTGCTCATTGATCTCCCTCTTCCATGCCACTGCCACTCAGCCACAAATCAAACCTTATCAATATTTGGATACAACAGCTATATAAAAAGCACTAGGAAAACCACATAGTTCTAAGGAAAATTTAGCATGAATGAGTTTTTGTACATTGAGCACCGATCATAACTTGGACTATATCCTGAACAATGGAATGATTTTAAGTGCAAGAGCAGAACGCAGTCCATATTTTAACAGAGACAATGAAAGCAACAGTATGGAAATCAATTAAAATGAAACATGACAGGAGTATCAGCTAAAAGATCTGTAATACTTGGTGTAACATATCTGACATGACATAGAAGATGGAAAGAAATGAGTCAAGACCAAGATGGTGGAAAGAGAGAACTAACTTTAGCAAGTAGTCCTCTGACCTCCACACCTCCTTATGTATACCACGGAATGCGCATACACACACACACACACACACACACACACATTTGTGTACACACAGACACTCACATACACATGCATGCACACACACAAATAATAAATAATTAAATAAATATTGGTAATAAAAAGCATGGAGGGATGCTCAATATCACTTACCATTAATAAAATATGATGCAAGACCACAGTGAGATATTGTTAGGTAGCTACAGTCAAAAAAACAGATAAATGCAAGTGTTTGCAAGTATGTGGAGAAATTGTACATTATTAGTAAGAACATAAAAGGGTACAAATTTAGAGAACAATTCAGCAGTACCTCAAGAAATTAAGTCTAGAGTTACCAAATGACCCAGAAATTCTTCTCCTTGATATATAAGCAAGATTAATGACAACGTATCCACACAAATTTGTGCATAAATGTATATAATGGCATTATTCATGACCAGAAAAAGTGGAAACAGTCTAAAGATTCACTGACTGATAAAGATAACAAAAGTAAAATACCTTTCACCAACAAAATGAAACATTTAGATGTGTCACAACATAGATGACCTCAAAAACATAGTGTTGAATAAAAGATGCCAGTCACAAAGACCATAGAGTGCATTATTCCATCCACGTGAGGTGTTCAGAAAGAGAAAATTCACAAATACAAAAAGCAGATTAGTGGCTTCCTGGGTCTTAGTGAGTGGGACTAGAGGATAAATGCAGCTGCTCTAGCTATGAGGTCTAGGGAGGGAGGGATGACATACATGCTCAACACTCAGATTATGTTCTACAGTCCAAGTGTTCTCGAATTGAACAAGTCTGTGCATATACTAAAAATCATTACACTATGTTTCTAATGGATAGATATTATAGTATATGAATCTTTTTCAAATAAACTATGTTTCTGCTTGGTCTTGGCATAAGAAAAACTCAAAAGAATACAAAATACTTTCTCTGCCACAGGAAATTAATCCATAAATACATTCAAGTTTTACTGGTAGGTGACTGCTAACTGGCTATATATTCCATATCCAGGCATTATAAGGGCTGGGTAAAGCTTGAAGCCTGGGAGTTAATAATACCTTATTTAAAAAGTCACCCATCATAGTTTCTTTCTGAAGAGAATAGAAGAAATAGGAAAAAAAGGAAGAAGGAAGATGGAAGTAAAACAATATGAGCTGAGAACTCACTAAGAAAATCAAATCGAAAAATGGTTACATTTTCTCCACAGTAGAAATCATGCATATCGTAATCAGTCGTGCCAGTGGATGCCAGTTGTTTAAGATTACAGGAGAGTGGAACTACGGGTGTAGCACAGTTAGAAGAGTGCTTGCTCAGTAAGTATGAAGCCTTAGCATCACAGAAAGCAGGTGTGGGGACACACTTGTAACTAACCTCAGCACTCAGGAGGTGGAAAACAGGGATCACAAGTTCAAAGTCACCCTTGGATACATAGTGAATTCAATATTAGCCTAGCTTACATGAAATCCATGTGTCAAAACAAGGTAAAGAGGGGGAAAGGAGAGAAGCAGGGACTAGATTAAAGAGGATAGCCAATTGAAAAAACAAAGAGTACCTCCTGGGGGAGTCCCAATGCTGCTGCCAAGACCCAAAATAGCCATCTTGTGAATTCTAGGCAGCAGCATCACAGCAGATTCTTCTCCCCTCTCCCAGTGGGGTACTTTGACTGGCTCCAGGTGGACATTCTCCAGACCATCTTGCTGCAGGTTTTGGTACATGATTTGGATGGCTTTCTCTAGGTTCTTAGAGCCACTCAGTCTGGGCCCAACAGTATCAACTAGAAGTCCCAAACGCTCATAGGACCGGTTCTGGTATTTACCATAAACAGCAAGGTTGATAATTGCTTTAGCAACATCTTCATAGCTGGCTATTTCATTTTTTATTTCTTGAAATGTTCTCTGAGAAATGTCATTCTCGTATATAGCTTTTCCAGAGTTCAGGGATAAAAGGTGAGCAACACCAACAAACACGAAGAAAAGGAACTTCATTGTTTCCAGTTGTTTTTCTTCCTGAGAGAAATAAATAAGAAACATGTTTTACGAAAAAAGAACCTCACAGACATCTGCCCATAATCCATGGCCTGCTTTTCAAGCAGCATTCCTCTGCCTTTTCCAACCATCATCCGACCTTCCCTATCATATTCAAGCAATATAGTTCCTAGGAATAGACAAGTCGAAGAACAACAATTGGCCTTATTAACAGGGTGGTGTGCATCAAACCTATAGAATCACTCATTACTAAAGGACAGACAGACGATAAATCGATAGACAGACATTTAAAGACAGAGAGAGACAGAAAGAGGGAGGGAGAAGGAGGAAGGGAAGAAGCATGGTGAAAGCAATGCTGGCTGCCCCTCCCTCTTAATGGAGCACGACTTCCCTCTTAATGGAGCACTACTCAACTGGAGGTCCATCTTCCCTCTTAATGGAGCACTATTCAACTGGAGGTCCATCTTCCCTCTTAATGGAGCACTATTCAACTGAAGGCCCATCTTCCCTCTGCCCAAATGAGCTTTCTTTACCTGAACAACTTGACCTTTGAGGTCATCTCAGATGTCATTTTTTTCTCAGTACATTTCCTAATCCCATTTCCACTAAAAAATACCTGATTCTTTTCAACAATATTTATTCAGCTATATTCCAGGAACTGTGATATGTTTTTAGAAGCAGAGAACTAAAACAAATGCAGAAACAAAGAGTGAGATTTGTTAGTCTTTAGCTCTGTGATACCCATCACTGACATGATCGTAATAAAAACAACATAACGCATTTTTGTAATAATTGCTATGTATCAGGCACTGTTCTAAGTACATTGCTCTTGTTATTACATTTAATTCTCCTAGTGGCCTCACTTCTGGAGGCCCACTCTCATGACCTTTACAAATAAAGTGCATCAGCACAGACAGACTAAGAAGCTGGGAACACATAAAGTTTTTCCAGTTCTAAGCGCTGTGCTAAACAGTGCTGCTCACTTAGCACTGCAGGGAGTTCGGGTCCGTAGAGTAACATGGAGACTGAGAACGAGTGTATCTAGTGCAGTTCAGTTTAGGAGCCAATAGTCCCATGGGCTCATTTTAACTTAATTAACATTAAATACAATTTAAAATTTAGTTCTAAGTCATTCCAGGCATTTTTCAAGTACTTGGTAGGCACATGTGACTAGTGGCTTCCGCACTACACAGCTCAAATAGAATTACTATCATGGTGGAAAGTGTGGATAATATCGAGTCAGACACCTTTTAAATTGTGCATATCTTGTGCCTTGACTGGCCCTTCCAAGAGACATATCAATGTTTAATTGGCATCAGTAGAGTTATTGGGTAGTGAGACCTTTAAATTTAGGTCTTGAAGTCCTACTTAAGGAACCCCCCTGAATGAACTGATGTTGTCGTCACAGGAGTAGGCTCTTTATAACCTTCTCTTCACAGCCTCTCATGTCCTTCTGCCACGTAACCTTGTATTATGTTGTTAAACAACAAGAAAAAACCTTTATCAGATTTTCCAGCCTCCAAATCAGCGAGCCTATGAATTTCTGTTTATTACTAATTACATAGTCTGTGGTATTGTGTTACAAAGCACAAAACAGACAGACAAGATTTTTCAAATCTAACAAAAAAGTGTTTTTTAATTTCCTTACTTTTATCTAATTCGTCGTTACCTCATTTTATGAAGATATTGGTCGGCAAAGCATTCAAAACCTGAAAGCTATTCCTATACCACAGATCCTGGAAACATAAAGTGTTATACAGATACATTCCAAATTCAACTGACAAATAATAACTTTTAAAAATGGCACCAACAACCTCTTTTAAATTGCCTTTCTTCATCCCTTCATCTCTCTCCTTATCTTGCTCTTCCTCCCTCCTTCACTCCTTCTACCTCTTCTTGTCCCTTATACATATATTTCTAATCTTGTAGACATGCAGTATTTGAAATGTAGCTAGTCCAACCTGAAATAGTTTTATTTTGCAGGTGTAAAGTATACAACTACTTTGATTTTAAAGATGTAAATATGAGAACAAAAATATTCCAGATATACTGGATTATTTAAATACATGCTTAACTTCATTTATTTGTCTTTAATACTTAATGTAGTATTTAGGTCAACAATGCTATAGCTCCATTCAGTTTTACACTATTCTTCAAATTCCCGATGTTTCAGGACTTAGGGTCAATACTTGAATTCATTCTTTTATATTGCAACTCTCTTCTCCTCACCTTACTTCCATTCTCCTGCAAAATACCTCCACTCACTCTTCAGTGAGAATGTTTTAAAAATAACTTCCCATGGAGCCCTATCCAACCAAACCTCCAAGCTATTTACATCATCTGTGCTTCCATCATAACTGATGTTAGCATCTATGTTTGTGTATAAATTTGTCTCTCCACCCTCAAAACAAAGTAGGATAAATGGTAGCACTATACCTTCAATTGCTAGATCCTATGTAGTCACTCTTTTCATATCTCTTTAGGTATTAGCTTCCTTAGGGTATGAGAGTGGCCTTCCCTCCTTCACAAACAAGCTTTAGAAATAAAAACTTGCTATAATACTTAAGAATTGTGAAAAGTATGGCAACTCTGCACTGTGGCTGCTTTTCTTTCTTATAATTGTTTATATACATGTTTTTTGTTTGTTTCCATAATCACAATACCTATACACACCTTTAAAGGTTAAATTTTGTTAAACAATCAAAATAATGAAAATATTTCACCAGACTATATTTTTCAGATAGGATTCACTAATTCTCTGGCTACCGTCCTGGACTATTATGGAGAAGGAGGTTTAGCAGTAGCTGCATGCCTCATTCTGTGTGTCTGATTGTGACTGTGGCATGACCAGCTATTTCAAACTCCTGAGACTTTGGCTTTTCTGCCATAATGAATTTAACCTCAAACAATCAAAACAAATCCTTTTTCTTAAGCTTCTTTGCCAGAGTTTTCACATGGCAATAGAGGAGAAAATAATATGCTTATCAAATCTTTTTGTTGTTGTTGTTGTTAGGGTCCCATTTGGTCCCTCACCAAATCTTTTTCTATTAGCACTGTACCACAGAACAACCCTAAAAGATCAGGGCTAATCTTAGAAAAATCAAAATGCACAACTTTATCCTATTAATGGTAAATATATGTCATTTGGGTGCCAAGAAAAGAGAGACTTAGATCAAGATGTGAGTGGCACAACGCTGAAGCCCGCTCTTCTGATGGCCCACAGAGTATGGGTACTCAAGTTGCAAAGGCTCACAATAGGCTCTGCAGACATAAAGGACTGCACATCCATCTCTTCTCAGTACAATGTCCCTGGGCAGGGGCAGAAGGATTGGTGAAATCAAGCAAGCTGCAGTGGTATTTCTTTGGAATCCACACAGGGAAAAATATTCTATGTTAAGAACAAAGACAAATACTATTTCTTGACTGAAACATTTTATTTTCTCTTTATTCAGCTGGAAATGGACTTTTCTTTCATTTTAGGTCTTAACTTTTTTTGTCAATTCATTTGACAAAAGTTTATTGAGCCATTTTAAGCTAGAGACTAAATATATGAGATAGTACCAAAGAACTGACAAGCATCAGAAGAGACAGAAAGGAAAGTCCTACAACTGAAGTAGTCACAAAGTCTAGGTCAAAGAGGGCAGTTGGGCCTATGGCATACAGTGCTTAAACTGGGATACCAGGGAAGCCGGAGCTTCTTGACGGGCACGTGGAGAAGGTGGAACTGATATTCAATAGGAAACAAACATGCAAAGGGAGGGGAGCTTAACAAAATGTAGCCAGACACAACAAAGGAAGTGATAAGTAGGTGGGTAAGTGGGAAAAAACACGGATGACACAGCAGCAACAGAAAGAAGTATTCCTTAGGAAAACATGGATGACACAGCAGAAGCAGGATGGAAGTATCCCCCAGGAAAACATGGATGACACAGCAGAAGCAGGATGGAAGTATCCCCCAGGAAAACATGGACGATACAGCAGCAACAGGAAGGAATTATCCCCAGGAAAACATGGAAGACACAGCAGCAACAGGAAGGAAGTTTCCCCCAGGAAAACATGGAAGACATAGCAGAAGCAAGGCAAAAGTATCCCACAAGGAAACATCCACTGTGTGAAGCTACAAACAGATGTAGCCAAGTATCTTGGAGGGCTGTGACAGTGTGGGCAACGAATGCTGACTCTTCATCCACCACCACGAAGCCAGGAAAAGATCTCCAGTACACCTGTCCTGAGTACAGAGAATCTATGCAGGACCATGTCAGGACATGGGCAACATGTAAAATATCTCAAAGTCTCAAAAGAGACTTACTTATTACCTATCGGTTATTCTGTAAATTTCTCAGAGAGATGGAAAAAAAATGTTGTACAAGTAGACAATACATTAGTCAGGAATTCATTTTCAAAGAAACTCAAGATTGTCTTCCATTTAAAATCCCCCAAATACTAATAACCTAACTGAGAAAAAATGACCCAGACTTCTTTCACACAATTATAGAACTACTTAAAATGCCTAAACTTAAGCTGCACACTTTAAATGTTATTTATTCTTACACAAAGAGGGTTGAAATCATGTTCCTTTTCTTGAATTCAAACTACAGAAATAGTAAATGGAATATCCTTCAAAATGTTAAACAACTATTTTTAAAACTCATGCTATATTGTGTCTTTGAATTCAGAAAGTTTAAACAGGCACACACATGTACATATATACACATATAGTAACAGGTAACTTTGGAGAACTACTTTAGAAAAAATTGCTTTGCATTTTGCATATATTGCCTTCATAATCCATAGTTATAGTCTCTTTCACAAAAACAGAACTTTAGGATGTCATTTTCTTTCTTTTCTACTTAAACCTGAAACCCAAAGTAACACTTCTCATACTCTGAATTATATCCTAATAATAGACTTATATTTTGAGGAAAGAAAGCATAATCCTTTGCTTCCATTTCTAAACATTTTTCCTGAAAATTCATTGTTTGAAAAATGTCTCCGGCTCTGATAAAAATTCCAGAATGAAT